CAGTTTAAGGGCTAATAACTTTATTAGGCAATAGGTATAGTGGTGTATAATACACCCAAACCCCCATTTAACTTGTAATTTGCAAACAAATTTGCTTGCTAAACGACAATTTAGTGGATTTTGCAATTTGTAAATCCTATTGACAATTATTTTACTGTTATCCAGGTAATTTTCAGTACTATTATGAAAACCTGTTATATTTATAAAGTTTTGAAAAATTAATTTTATAATTAAAAGTTGTCAAGGTAGCATAAATAGTTATTATACTGTACTGTTATGACTCTATTTGAAATGATAATAATTCATTACACTTACCATTAATATCCGTATTAATTGCAATATTAAACTCATTAATAACATGTTTAGAATTTATTTTATGTTTTGGTTTTAAGTCAATGTTAAACATTGTTATTAGAAATATAATGATTGTACACACTATCAGAGTTAACGGATTATTAAAGATTTCTTATTTAATAACATCTTTTATAATAATATTTAATCTTTTATTATATAGAAAAATAGAGAAATTAACTGTTTTTATGATATTAATGGTATAATTTTTGAATAGCATAATTTAAAGTGTCATATGAAATCTACAAATTTTTTAATAATAAAAATGATTTATTATAAGTTATAATTATAACAACTGATCTTATTTCTTGTAAACACTTTTTAATTTTATATAAACTACATTACTTATAATGTATTTTAAATATTTAAAAAATATAATTGTTATTATAAACATTGTATGTATAAATAGTCATCAAACGTGTCATTAATAAAATTATTTTTGAAATATTATCAGTTTTATTTAACTTTTAAATTGTCTATATTATTATATTATTCTTAAAATTAGATAATTTTATAAATTATAAACTATAAGTATGTGCATATAAATTAGAAAATATTTAATACAAATTGTGTTTTTAAATAAATATTTTTAATGTTTATTTTAAGTTTATTTATCTATGAATCTTGAATCAATGAAAATAACTCTAAGTTATTTTAATTTCCAAGAAATTATATAACTTATTTTTGCCAACAATTGTAATCCTAAATAAATATAATACTGTTAGTGTACATATACTTTATGTTCTTGATGATTATCATAATACGGTTCTTAAATAAATGCATGTATATTAGGTAACTATTATCAACAGCTATCAATTACCAATACTAGTATATTGATTATAACATAATTGTTTTTCAAGTGTTTTGATAATTTACAGCATTTTATTTCCTAGTTTATAATACTAACCACGGTATACTAGGGTAACACATCCACTAATTGTAGTTGATTGTTGAGCAAGCGCATTATAACATTTAAACTGAATTAGCACCCAGATCGGCTTAAGATAATTGACAATAAATAATTGACACTGGGTGTCTGGAAGAATTTTGAAATCAAAATCTATTACAAATTTGTATATAAACAGCGGATCAAACCCATAAAATCATGCAAGTACCAATAAAACAATTAAGATTGTAAAAATAAAATCACTATTAAGCGTCTAATTAATTGCTTATAAAATGAATACTTTAGTAATAATAGCCTTATTATGGGTTGCAGTCACTGCCGACTACAGTATTGAAGATTATAAAGCCGTTGGAGATTCTCGTAATTTCCCGGGTAAAGTGATTTTAGTGACTGGACCCAGTTCCGGTATAGGGGAGGGTATTGTAAAATTGATGTCCATATTAGGTGCCAAAGTGGTGGTCACCGGTACTACGGATGCAAAAGTTAAAGCGTTTGCCAAAGAGTGTGAAGACCTATCGCCCTATAAACCAAAGGTTAGTATAAATTAAAAATAAAATTATTTAGTTATATTAAAGTATAATTGAAATGGGAATATGGTTACTAATTTTTATGACATCCATTTCCCTGTCAACCCCTCGACGTGGTCGCAGATCTTACCAAAATTGATGACTTGAATCGTTTGATCGCAGAGACGGTGAAGACTTTCGGAAGACTCGATGTTTTGGTGAATAACGCAGGGATTCGGTCACAACTGACCACTATTTTGCAGACCGATGTCATGCAGGCCTGGGATCAGCTCTACTCCCTTGACCTCAGGGCTATCGTAGAGCTCACACATGTGGCCGTCCCTCACCTCCTGAAGACTAACGGCTCTATCATCCAGATATCAGCCCTCGCGGGCTTAGCGCCNCATGAAGGCCTGGGATCAGCTCTACTCCCTTGACCTCAGGGCTGTCGTAGAGCTCACACATGTGGCCGTCCCTCACCTCCTGAAGACTAACGGCTCTATCATCCAGATATCAGCCCTCGCGGGCTTAGCGCCGGTATGTTATAAACACATATTAGTTATATTTTAAACATTAAAAAACTTTTTCAACAAATGTGTGAACAGATGCCCCAAAACCTGGTGTACGGACCGGCAAAAGCCGGGTTAGATATGTTAACCCGAGTCCTGGCCCTCGAGTTGGGACCCAAAGGCATACGAGTCAACGCTATTAAGTGATTAGTATTTTATTACAGATGCCCCAAAACCTGGTGTACGGACCGGCAAAAGCCGGGTTAGATATGTTAACCCGAGTCCTGGCCCTCGAGTTGGGACCCAAAGGCATACGAGTCAACGCTATTAAGTGATTAGTATTTTATGAAATTATTTTAATCTTTAAACTAATAAATGATTTGAAATGTCAGTCCCGGCGCTACGCAAGTGTTTGAACCGTTGCCACCGATTTGGGAGAAGACCCGTGAGTTCACACCACTTAAGAAATTAGGCCAACCCTTAGATATAGCCAAAGCCGTGGCTTTGCACATGCGAACGTAATTTTAATGGAACATGGCGACATGCGAACAATTGCGAACATAAGGGGGGAGGGGGTTAATATTTCCTAAAAAGTGCGGACGTAATATGTGAATCATCTCTTATAGTTAGTTATTTACATTGCTTCAAGATTCCTTGATAAATAAACTTAAAATGGGTATTAAAAAATTTATTTAAAAACCCATTTTGTATTAAATATTTTCTAATTTATATGCATATGCTTATAGTCTATAATTTATAAAATTACCTAATTTTAAATATAATATAATAATATAGATAACTTAAAAGTTAAATAAAAGTGATAATATTTCAAAATAATTTTATTAATGACACGTTCAATGACTATTTATACATACAATGTTTATAATAACAATTATATTTTTAAAATATTTTAAATACATTATAAGTAATGTAGTTTATAAAAAAAAATTACAAATATTTTACAAGAAATAGGATCACTTGTTATAATTATAATTTATAATAAATTATTTTTATTATCAACAAGTTTGTAGGTTTCAAATGACACTTTAAATTATGCTATTCAAAAATTATATCATTAATATCATAAACACACTTAATTTCTCTATTTTTCTATATAATAAAACATTAAATATTATTATAAAAGATGTTATTAAATAAGAAATCTTTAAATAATCCGTTAACTCTGACAGTGTGTACAATCATTATATTTCTATTAACAGTGTTTAACATTAACTTAAACCTAAATGGTATAACAAATTCTAAACATATTATTAATAAGTTTAATATTGCAATTAATACGGCTATTAATGGTAAGTACTGCATTATTATCATTTAAAATAGAATCGTAACAATACAGTAAATTTATAATAATTATTTATGCTACCTTGACAACATTTAAATTATAAAATTAATTTTTCAAAAATTTATATATATAACAGGTTTTCATAATAGTACTGAAAATGACCTGGATAACAGTAAAATGATTGTCAATAGGATTTATAAATTACAAAATCCACCAAATTGTCGCTTAGCAAGCAAATTTGTTTGCATATTACAAGTTAAATGGGGGTTTGGGTATATTATGCACCACTACACCTATTGCCTAATATTAGCCCTTAAACTGAACCGGACACTTATTATCCGGGAGACCATCACAAATACGTACACATCGAACATGAAAACGCTTATCCGACCCATAAGTGACACGTGTTTGGACCAAAACGGAGACAACAGCACCACATGGGAAGGGATGTCAGACCAGACACACCATTATTATCAAGTTATTAACTTTTATTTTAACCACTATTCAAAGGTGTATTTACAGGATATGAGAAAACTCACCCAGTTTAATATTGAACTGCAATCCCAGTTCAGTCAACCCTTATCTCTATTCATTGGACTATTATTACGGTATTTAATGCGTCCGACACTAGAGTTGAGCCGATATTACGATAATTATAAGCAAAGGATTCAATGGAAACACCCTATCGTTGGCCCACATGTGCGACGGACTGACAAACTGTGGGTTGAGGCTAAATATCACTCAATGGATGAGTACATCAAATATGTGGACCAGTATTACGATAGTCTGGACACGACTTATGGTAAAAAAAAACTCATAAAAGACTCGTGTATTTGGCGACCGATGAGCCAAACGTATGGCTCAACGAATTGAGTCCTTATATTGAGAGACAGATTGAGTTCACGGGTGATCCACACATATCTCGGAAAGCATTTAATAACATCCGAAACAGTTATGAATCGATTCGTGACTTAATTGTCGAGGTTTTGGTGTTAAGTGAATGCGATTACATTGTCTGCACCTTCAGCTCAAATGTGTGTCGTTTGGGGTTTGAGTTACGGATGAGTCGTATTAACAATTCATTAGCTTTTCAGTCATTGGATAAGAAATATTATTATAATCCCTGATTTTTTCAATGTTTTTAATGTATTTACATATATCTTTTTATTACAAAATATGAAAATTATAACTGTAATTTAAAAATTTAAAAATTGTCTACCGTGTAATTTATTTTAAAGTTATTCACACAATTAAAACATATTATTACCATTAAATATATCCGCTAAGTTTAGTATGATTATTGTACGCGTATTTACGAAATTGATAATTTTTTGGTGAATTTGTAATTTACAGAAATTATTAATTTTATAATAGAGAGAATTATATAGTTTTCATGAAATATGTTATATAATATACTCATCTGTATAATATGAACTACAGGTCAAAGGCTGTTCTCTTATACTTCCCGTTCCCTTCCCTTTCCCATAAGGGAACGGAAAGGGAAAATAAATTTAATGACATTTAAACAATAAAATATAACCATTAAAAATATTTATTTAAAAACATATTTTGTACTAACAATTTTATGGTTTTTGTGTATATAATTATAGAATTATCTAATTTAAACATCATAATATAAATACTGTAATTTAAAACTTAAATAAAACTAATATAATAATATTTTTAAATATTTGGATTAATAACACGTTCAAAAACTATCTATACATAAAACAATTTTCATAATAACCATTATATTTTTTAAATATTTTTAACATTATAAGTAATGTAGTTTATATAGAATTAAAGGAATTTTACCAAAAATAAGATTAGTCATTATAATAAATTATTTAATTATCAAAAGTTTGTATTTAATCCAGTACAAATGACACTATAAATAATGCTAGTCAAATTAGTTACATCAAATAACATTTTAATTTTACTTTTATTTGTAATATCTACATTAATTGTGTATTTTAAAATTATCGGCGATTACTCATTAAATTATAAATCATCACAAACTAAATTAGGTATTTACATTAATAATTATTTTACTAAACTCTAAATTATATTTTATATAAAAAAGTAAGTCATATTATTTTAAATAAATAAATTACTATAAAAACTTTAAAAATAATCATGTTTATTATGTTAAATAAATATAATTGTATTTCAATAACTCTTAATTTTATTTTAAATATTTATCAATTACAGTAAGAAATCAATTATTAAATATTAAACAATTTATTAAATTAAACATAAATTATTTTCCTTGTAGATTCATCTACATATAACGAGCGAGATCATAAAGTACAGCAACTCAAATTATTAATAGACTCTAAGATTACTCGTCTACAAAATCCCATAAACTGCAGTTCAGCCAAAAAGTTTGTTTGCAACGTTGACTACAAGGGAGGGCTTGGCTATATCTTCCAACACTATTCCTACTGTTTTATTGCGGCTTTACGTCTCAATCGGACCCTTATTTTCACGCCAAACACTCAAAACTTTCTCACGCTTTACATCACAATGTTTTTCCGACCCCTAAGTCACACGTGTGTGGACTCGGATGGCGACAACAGCACCACATGGGACGGGATGGAGGTTACCATCGATAAGACAGTTGACTATCAGGTCATACACTTTGGT